ACAATATATCGTCTACTTCGACAAAAAAAAAAAAAAAAAAAAAAAAAAAAAAAAAAAAAAAAAACATTATTTTCGGGAAAATACGACAGGTTTCTTAAAATTAAGCGAGACTCGACCCAAAGAATATTCATTATACATGACACAAGAATGAATAAATATCTGTCACTAAAGACGTGCATATCTACCAGATAGGTAGCCAGATAAACGTAAATCTATCAATCAAATAGAGAGATATCCATTAATTTCTGGAGACATGCATGACCCGCAAACAAACTTGCCGACTAACACTTAAAAAGATTGTTAGGTGAAGTTCAAAATTGCCATAAAAAAATATTTTTAAAAACATTTAATTTAAACTCTGAAATTTTCTCCAAGTTATGGCCCTTTCTGACGTTAATCTATCAAATATTTACAAGATATGTAAAGGTACTAATTACCTATCGAGAGACAGAATATTTAGAATGTTTATAGGCTTTTATAGGCTAATTTGAATGTATATATGATCTTCAGGCACAATGATTTCATGTATATATATATATATATATATATATATATATATATATATATATATATATATATATATATATATATATATATANAGAGTGAGGAGGCCGAGAGGCGAGTCCGGAGCAAGATGAAACAGAGGCCGGCAAGCCTTCAAGGGAAGTGGACACGCCGTACGCAGGGAGCTTTGGCGTGCTGCACCAGCCCTGTAAGTAGGGAGTGGGAAGAACTGGTGGAGTCGGCGCCATCGGGCCAGTTTCCAGCGGAAGCCGCGCGGAGTGAAAGGGGAGAGGCCGCAGTGGCGCAATACCACGAGGGAGAGGGAGTGGGAGGGGGAGTGGGAGGTGAGCTCGCGGAACAGGGGGAGTGACAAGGGCAGAGGGAGTGGGGAAGCTGAGGCAGGAGGGAGGTGGGAAGGGGGGAGTGGGAGGGGATGGTGAGAAGGGGAGAAGGGAGTGAAGGGTGTGAGTAGTCAGTTAATCCAACGTCGGGGCTCTTGATGCCGGATCGCCAGGACAGTTTCCGTATCGCGCGCCGCCGCCCGCCGAACGCTCTCACAGTTGATCAGCACAGAACACGGCCGGACACGAGAGAGAGACTAGATACTGAATCCGTCGCCGCATCGACACAAGAAAAGAAAAGATAGCAAACAAAGTGAGTTTCTGTGCAAGCAAGAGATAGTGAACGGACGTGGAAAGCTCGGTAGGAAGACCAAGACCAAAAGCGCCCTGATTGCTTCTCAATGAATTCGGGTTAAAGATGTCTTTTCTCCCTTTATCAAACGGTGTTGACTGATTCCTGGGAACGTAATTAGCCAGCATGAATCGGTGGACGAGAGAGTGAGCTTTGCCCTCACTAACTTTGGCTCCGAAGTAAGCGTGATTAATGACGTCACCAATGTCGAGATCTGAAAATGTGTGCGGGTGGATGGTTCGTCCCCGTCCTTTCCGCGCAATATCAATGATTCGACCAGCCTGGGTCGAGGAATCTGTTTTTCTCCTTCCAGAACCACGCAACCCGGAGTGTTATCTTGTTTTAATGTCGAACAAGGCGTAAAGAACCTGTAGTCAGCAGACAGAGTTCTTGGCAGGGAATAAGATTACTCGATTGCCGCACGCTGTATATCCTTTTATTCTGAGGATAAAGCGCCACTATGCGGACCCGAGCACAGGTGCAGCATCGACGCGAAGGGCTTCCTGCGTGAGGCGTCGCAGTCACAGCGCCCTGAGACGCTGAGAATAGAGAGTAGATTCCTTGAAGAATTTAGCTGATGAACAGGAACCTGCGCTGGGAGATAAGGACTCGTATAGAATTTCTTAGTGCGTGATTTTTACGTGTTGTAAATTCAAGTCAGTTCTCTCTCCCAACCTGTCTAGAGACGATAAACGAAGGAAAAAACCGCAAATGATATGTTAAATACTGCAGGGAGGTTTGACCTGTTACATGTCAAGTTAGAGCTGAAGTATGGGCCAAATAGTCCTGGCGGTATCCTAATGTATGTTGGCTTTTGAGTTCCAGATTTTTTGGTTGAGGTCGATTTTGCTTCTGCAGTTGCATATGGGGGGCGATTCCTCTCCAGTCATTGGTCACCTTCCCACCGGAGTGGCTGGTCGTAATTGGTAACGCGGCGCTTTCTCTTGGATTGAACTGCTGACCCTTGATGTGATACACTCGACGCTCTCTCATGCAGCCTCCGTCCCCTCTGGGCCCCTCCGCTCGAACTTCCGCTCCTCTTCTTCCCTTTCTCTCCACGTGGCCTTTGTTACAGCGCTGTCTTCTCGCCACGAGCTGCCGTGTCTTCTCTCTCGGGGTGGGCGTCCCTATACCCCCACGTGTTCAGGTCTGTCGTCGCGTGTGTCCCTTGGTTGCTTAATGTTCTCTTGTCATTGTTTTTTTTGTTTTTGTTTTTTTTTCTTGTCTTTTATTTTTCCAATTCTTCTTATCAAATATATTATCTTTTTGCCATTGTGTTTTTTTGTGATGGTAGCTGATGAGTCAGGTGAGCTTGGCTCCCTCTCCTTTTGTCCTTACCCTCCCCTATCCCCAATTTTCACAGCCTAACTAGTCCGTACTCCTATGACTGAATGAAATAAACAACCGAATGACAAGAAAATAATAGCCTAAGATATATATTTCGCACACCTTTATTAGCTGAGTTCCCTCTAGCGTGAACACACCGCACCAATGTGGTTGGAAATAATAGAGAAGGTAGATAACTGAAACTTTAGAGTCTCCGGTGTCGTTACTTCACCCCGCAAGCCGACAAATATTCTTGTTGTGGTCTCGTTTGCGTGTAAGACGCTGCCCGAGAATGTGGGGGAGCCACCTTACAAAAGTAATTTGGTAGATGAGCGAGCTTAAGGGTTTATAAGGTGACAACCAGAGACTCCTCCGGAACTCCCAACAGAGGAGTACTGCCTCTTCATCTTTCTTTATACGCTACATTCTTAAACAGATTTCGCTGCACCATGTGTGGCTTCGAATGGAGTGATGAATTATAGAGAACTATCTTGATGATGTAACCTGGCATGATATCGACTACAAGCAAGGGTGAGACCAATGTGGTAAAGCTGAGCACCTTAAGAACTTCGAGAGTGACAACAATAGTTTCTCGTTTTTTGTTGTAAGAAGAGTAGTAGAAACATTTAAATATGCGTATTGCGCCGTAAGGCAAAAAAATAGTTAACGGTAGTGAGTACATGACATTAATGTACACCTATACCTGTAGTGCGAAAGATACGTAATGTGACAAACATGTATTTTAGACTTATTAATTTATAGAATTTAGTAACTCTGTAAATCAAAGCAAACTAGAAAGTTCATCCTGTGTAACGTATGTATTTGATATAAAGGGCTTTAGGTGTTATAAGTGATGAGTGCATCTCGTTCTTGTGTCCTGCTGTGGTTGTTGTTATGATATAGTGGATGGTGCCCCCATCATAATCCAAATATGTGTCTTAAGAATCAGTTGATATGTCGGTGTCGTGCTGTGTGTGTGTATATAGATGTACAATGTGTGTGATGTGAATAGTCGGTTGAGACAATAGAAGAGGAGAGAGAAGATAAAAGAGAGAGGAAAACTGGCATAGAGAAGTAGTGATAAGAAAGAGAGAGAGAAAGAGAAGAGAGAGAGATGAGTAAGGAGGGAGAGAGAGAGAGAGAAGAGAGAGAGAGAGAGAGAGAGAAGAGAGAGAGAAGCCACGTTAGGAAAGAAACAAGAGCGAGACTTAAAGGTGATTGTAGGCGGTAAGGGAAAAGATCAGTCAGTCAAGGGTAGATTCAGCAGGTATATGATGATGAAAGGGGAATGCTAGAAAAGAGAAAAGCGGATGGCCAGAAGAGTAAGCGAATGAAAGTTAGAGAGTAGCAGAGGGCTGGAGGAAGCAGCAGGAGCGGGGCAGAGCGAGCGATGGAAGAGAGAGAAGAGAGAAGAGAAGCACCGAAATCGCTATCAGGCACGGAGAGCGTATGCACAGAAGGATCGAAAGCAGAGAAGCGGGCGGCGAGCTGAAGAGGGAGAGTGCGAGTAGAAGAGACGACGATGCAAGAGAGAGGAGAGAGAGAGAGCAGGAGATTGTAATAGAATGATGAAGATGAGAGAGAGAGAGAAAGAGAGAAGAGAGAGAGAAAGAGAGAGTCGTAAGAGATGAGTAAAATGAATATTAGTAAATGAAATATATAAGGATAAAATAGAAGATATGAAGAGGAGTAAGATAGAGAAGAGAAGATGAGATGAGAAGTATAATATATGAATTATGAAGTAAGATAGATATGAATATAATGTAGTATATAGATATGTAGTGTGTGACATGCATATTGTTTATAAGAGAGAGAAACAAGAAAAATCGAGGAACCTGGCTTATCTCCTTCAAAAGCAGGGCTCACAGCAGAAGAGTGGACGTCGACCGATGTCGGAACCCGACCAGGCCACGTGCCGTGCCGAGGCCCAGAGAGACACAACGGAAGACATAGAGAGAAGAAGGAAAGTTTTTCGTTTCTCGCTCCTGAGAAGTCGTGTTAATGCCCAACTATATCTTACCCGCGTCAGGAGCGGACTCCTTTTCCCTCGCCATTTATGCCTCTTAATCCCTTTCTTTGCGTATGACGCTCAGAATTTCAGTTGTCAGCAAACCCAAGTCCTGCCTGACGCCCAGTACGCGCCAGGCAAGGCCCACAGGTGGGCCCAATGAAGTATTTATAGATTCGATTCGTAGAATCTGATATAGCAACTATTAATATCATTTCGAGCAACTTAGGGTGTGATCTGTTACTGCTAGTAGGGTAGTGAGTTCGAGATATGACCGGATTTGCAATATATGATAAAGTGCGCGTGATACACATCCACGCACAGATGGATACCATGCGAAGTGAGAGTTGGTAAGGTGATGGTAGTAGTAAGTAATTGGGAAATGATAATAGTAAAAGACTAATAATAATGATAATAATATCAATAATAATGAAAATAAGAGCACCGGAAAGTGAAGAAAAAAACCTAATAACCTGCAAATTTTTAATTCACCCTCAGAGAGAAGGTCTCGCCGAATTATCCCAGTGAAAGATCCCAAATCCCTTTTCCTGACAACCCGCCTTAAAATCGTTTCGAAGGAAGAGAATGTCGTTTGAAAGCGTCGTTTGCTTCTCAGCCGCTGATTCGGCCTCCCAGCCTCCTCACGCCGGCAACACGGAGGGCGTGCACACCCAGAGGGCGGCGCTGCACGTGTCGAAGCAGCACTTCTCCGACGGCCTGCAGGTGGAGTCGTTGAGGCACGTCTTCGGGGCGCTCCTGCTGGCGGCGCAGTCCTTCCTCAGGGTAGGGCAGACTCCGGGGTGGACTGGGGGGAAAGGAAAATGTTTCCTGGGATTTTCTTCTTGGAGTGTGCTCTGTATGTTTTATCATTATTGTTGTTTAACTTATATTCTAAGCCTGAAATTTCATCGTTACTACCACGTTGTTAAATGAGAATTGGTTCTTGAAATGCAATTTGTTTTGTCTCCGTGAATATTTTCACTCTTAAAAAAAAAAAAAAAAAAAAGTAAGCCCCAGGAAAAGTGCTTTTGTATAAGATAAAGGAATAATGGCATTCTGAATCTGTTTTCCAGATCACAAAGGATATTCTCCGTCTAATCCCGAACCTGATTCCATAAAAAGAACATGACGTCAGAGCAGTGACGAGCACGTACCTGCCCCTTTGCCGGTGAGCTGGACGATGAACCCCGCAAGGCCAGACCCTCCAACCACGCCAGACCCGGACCTCTGGCCGAGCGAGGAGGGCCTCTTGATCCCGTGGGACATGTACCCCGTGGTGGATCCGGAAGCTAGGCCGCTCGAGGTGAAGGCGAAGAGGGACCCCTGGGAGCCGGACGCCGAGAAATGGGCGCCGACCGGTGAGTCATAGCTGTCGCTGGAGGAGGACGGGTTATCTGTGGCCGCGTCGGGGTCGTCTGAAGGAAACTGGACGTTCGGGTCAGATTCGAATCGGTTGTCTGTGATTGAATCGTATTTGTCGAAGGCCGAAGATTGGTTTTCTGTTTCTGAGTCAGTGCTGCCAGAAAATTGGCTGTCAGTAGATGTGAATTGTGTGGCCGTTGAGTCTAAATTGTCAGATGGCGAAAACTGGCTAAATGTAGATGAAAATTGGTTGTTTTTAGACGAGTCATAGTCATCAAATGAAGAGTCTCTTCTGTTGTCATTGTCTATTGGTACGAACTGGTTGAGTGAAGACGAAAACTGGTTGTCTGCAGCTGAATCTGATGAGAACAGATTGTCTAATTCATGGTTGTCAGAGGATGAAAATTGGTTTGTTGTAGATGATAACTGATGTCCTGTAGACGAATATTGGCTGTCTGCAACTGAGTCATCATAATCAGGAGATGAAAACTGGCTATCGGCAGGGGAATCATAATCCACTGGAAATTGGTTAGTAGTGAAAGAAAACTGGCCTCCTTCAGTCGAAAATTGGTTATCTGTTGCTGAGTTGTCGCTGTCAGATGATAAGTAATTTTCGTCCGTGGAAAACTGGTCGGTTGCAGATAAGAATTGGTCGTCTGAAGTTTGGTCAGAGGCAGCAGAGTCATGGTCGTCAGGAGATGAAAATAGATCTTGGGCGTCTGTGTAGCTGTCTGTCGAAAGAAGGGGGTTGTTAGATTCGGTTAAACGGGTACCTGGAGCGTGAATATCCGTAGAAGAGAGCCGGTGTGAGTCATGGTCGTTGGCATCGAATTTTTGTGAATCAGTAGAAGAAAAGTCAAAAGCTGTAGCTGCTCCTTGGACTCCTGTTGGCAGATCTTGACTGTCAGCAAGCAAGTCATAGTCACCATCGACTGTTGAACCGAAGTTGATAAAAGCTGTACTATGAAGGCCGGTGGATGGATCTTGGATATTAGTGATTAAGCCATGATTTGCTGTGGCTGGATCTCCCTCGGTCTCTTCGTGGAATCGTCCAGTTCCTGCATTTGCTGTGATGACACTAGCCTGTTTTGTAGGGGTACCTGATGTTGCAGAAGCGCTAGTATCTAACGGAACTCCAAAAGATGGCTCCGTTGTGCTAGAATAAGAACCATGAATGCCATAATTGTGTCCAGACTGTGATTCTTCTGTGCCGTGTTGCAAATCGTGGGTTATATCTTGCACTCCAGTAGCAGAACCATGGGAGTCACCTTGATGGTCCGAGGGTGAATCTCGCGAATTGGGAAGAAAAGCGTCAGCTCTGTGAAAATTACCTGAATTTTCTTGTGCATCAGAAGCAGAAGCAAAGATGCCCTGGTGGATGCCATGTGCTGCTTCTTGGGTGTCATAATCGACATTGGCACCTGGGAGTTCTGTCTGGAAACTCTGCTCCTGATTAGTAATAGAAGGACCAAGCTCAGCAGAATGAAGGCCAGAGAATCCCTGTGTTTTAGCAGGGGAGTTGTGGATATTACTTTGCTGGTCTACAATAGCTCTTTGAACACTGGGTGAGCTATCTGACACTGATGCCAATTCTCTTGTGTCAAGGGAGCTTGACTTTGAGCCATGAATGTTAACAGAGGCATCAGGGATCCCAGACTGTGTGTTTGGTTGCTCACTGTAGGAAGATTCCTGGGTATCATAATCTTGATTACTAGAAAAGCCAGTATCAAAATGGAAGTCAGGGGCTGACGTCTCTGAACCACTCAGTGAAAAACTGACATCAGACTGAACACCAGAAGAGGGTACTACAGCCTGCACTGAAGAATCACTTGTTCCAACCTGGAATTCGCTTGGTGGCAAGTGACTTTCTGGCGCAGGAAGATTGCCAGTAGATGAAGAAATAGGTGGGAATGCAGGTTTTGTTACTACCGGGGAAGTAGACAAGAATGTGGTGGAGTCATCAGTATGATAATCATAATCAAACTGGGATGCAGATGATGAAGCTGGTATGTCACCTAATATTGGTGCTTGAGTGCTAGAGAAGAAACTGTTAGTGGCAGCTTGATATGCATTTGATGATCCAGTGTTTGAACTAGAACTACCAGTGCTTGCTGCAGATCGTTCGGTGGCACTTGCAAAATCATTTGTGTTGGATGGGAAGCCGACAGACCCTTGGGTTTTTGAAGCAGAGTTAGAAGTGCCAAAAGTAGAAGAAGCTTGAGTGGTGTCTCGGATTCCAAATGAAGTTTCCTGGTTTCCGGCATCAGAGGCATCAGTGTTCAACAGAAATTCAGGACTCTGGGTCTTAATTTTTTGCTGAAAATTCAAGAAGTCTGTAGTAGTTGCACCTGAATCTTCATTTTCACTTTGGAAATCGAATGAGTGTTGCTGTGGGCCAGTTGATGAAATGTCACCGTCAGCTCTGGACTGGGACTGCTGAAGATCAGTCAAGCTGTGTTCGCCATTCTGGTACGTCTGTGATCCAGTTTCAAGTTGAATGGAGGAATCCTGTGTCCCAACAGAGTGATCTAAATAATCAAGATCAATAGGAGTGACAGCAGTAACGGCCTCCTGAGTATCAGGCTGAAAACTCACAGCTATGGGATTGTGTGTGCTTGTCTGGAAATGAAAGGAAGCAAAGCCAAAATCTTTGTGGCTTTGCAGGTCTTGAGTATTTGATGCTAATGTGTCCTTGCCAGAAAGAAGTCCATGAGTACCAGCTGTTGATATTTTGGGGCCAGGTTGTGTGTTCAATTCTTGTGGTGTTTGGCTTGGAGCAGAATTCACATCCGTGTGAATATGAGAGAATGACTTATGAGTGCTGCCTTCCGGGGCAAAGGTTGTGGACTGGAAGTACACAGTGGAGGCAGCAGTACTTGACCCTGGATTATCAGTGGTAAATTGAACACCAACACTTGGTGGAGTAACCGTACTTCGGTTAGGAGTGGTGACAATGATTGATGGAGAATCTTGTGTGTTTACCGGAGACCCAGAGCCATGAGGTCTGATACCGGCAGAAGTACCAGCAGCGGACTGGGACCCTTGACTTCCTTGCTCCTGTGAGAAAGATCCTTGGCTGTCGGCAGGAGAGAGCTGAGTGCTGAACGGCGCTCCCTCGTTTCCGGCAGAAGACGCGTGAGCGCCGGGGGTGGGCACCTGACCCCCGGCGAAGAGCGAGTGGAAGTCAAAGGAGGGCGCTTGGCCTCCGGCTTGGAAATTGAAGGGGAATTTGTTTCCGCTGTTCCCGAAGAAAGCAGCCCCGCTATTGGAATTATCTCCAGAAAAAAACCTGAAACAAAAATATAAATAACCATGTTTTTTATGTTAATCATTATTATTTTTTAAATGAATTTCAACAGTGACCCTTAACTGCAGCTTCTAGGTATTACACATCAGTATATCATACATTTCTGCAGTTTATATTTATGTAAACAAAGTTAATGTATACCTTGGGCATTATTCACTATTCATCTATCACTCCATATATTTAAATCAGCAACTTAAGGTCTGTTTATCAAACTTCCTACGAAGGTCCTCAAAACCCACCCAGAGAAAGACGAGGAAGACGAGTGATCCGCCGAGGAAGACGACGAGTTGGAGGAAGAGTGACTGAAGTTGAAGCCGTTCCCGGTGGAAGTGTAGTTGCCTGAGGCGGAGTTCTGGTTGGAGGACGAGGAGGAGTTGGACGAGGTGGAGTTGGAGTGGAAGGAGAAGCCAGGCGCGGGGTGTGGCAATTCTTCCTTGTGGAGGAGAGTCGGCCAGGCGGAGCACGCTGCCACCAACGCCAGGGTCACGGTACCCACGCGCACTGCGGGAGCACACAGGGCATGACGCTCGCACGATTCTCATGAATGAACTAACGCACCGTGGCGTAGATGCCATGGGGGTTAAAACTATATCCGATTTTCCGAATGCATTGGAATATTTAGTTATCAATAGCATGAGGGTCTTCTAGTAAAGCAATGAGTTGGATGAACAACATAGTGAGTGTAAAGCTAAGAAAATTAAAATGCAAATTTATAGAAAAGCGAACGAAAATATCAAATATTTGTGAGTGGCAGGCTCATGTGTGGTTTTGTGCATGACGTAATCATACCATGCTGGAGAACAATGAGACATGCTCAGGGTCGTCTGGAACTGATAAACCAATAAAAAGAAAAGCAATGATTTTTCATGCCTGGGAATACATTCAGATACAAACACAGACAAAATCACATACATTCATGCATGCATAAATGCAAATATACATGCATATATATATATATATATATATATATATATATATATATATTATATATATATGTGTGTGTGTGTGTGTGTGTGTGTGGTGTGTGTGTGTGTGTGTGTGTGTGATATATATATATATATATATATATATATATATATATGTATATATATATATATATATATATATATATATATATATATATATATATATATATATATATATATATATATATATATATATATATATATATATATATATATATATATATATATATGTATATATATATATATATATATATATATATATATATATATATATATATATATATATATATATATATATATATACGCATGTGTGCGTGTGTTGTGTGTGCATATATATATATATATTATATATATATATATATATATATATATATATATATATATATATAATATATGTATATATATATATATATATATATATATATATATATATATATATATATATATATATATATATATATATATATATATATATATATATATATATATGTATATATATATATATGTATATATGTATATTATGTATATGCCTATATGCACACACATATATACATATATATATATATATATATATATATATATATATATATATATATATATATAGCATGTGTATACACACATATATATGCATACATTCACATGTTTTTTCATTGTTTTCCTTTATCACACACGCAAACACGAGCAGCCACACGCACGTCAGCAGGAAGGTCCCTGCAAACGCCACAACCAATAACGCGATTCCCTTCCGCAGAGCCGTTATTAAAGGAGATAAATCCTCTTCTCTCTGCCCTGGAGAGAGCACTAGGAACACACTGGCACTTACTACTGGATTCTTTACGCTGCGTCCGGGTGCCTGGGCGTGTTGGCAGTCGGCCGTGCACTGTGCCATGCTTTAACGGGTTGACCTTTATATACCTTCGTCACACCTTGTCAGCCGCAACGGAAATCGTCTACGCCTTGCGAAGACGCCGTGACTCATTTCACGTTTTCAAATCTTCGTCGGTTTCTGCATATCGTTAAATATTCCTTAAATTTTTTTCGGGTTCGAGTTCCTGCTCTTAGCTGAGATATCGTTTAGCAGAAATGATGCAATACGAATGCAACGGAAGGATTTTAAAGTTGCCTGTCATGAAGGTCTTCAGAGCAACAAGCATGAATGCCAAACCTGTTAAACAAATCTGAAACACAAATCACGATTAATACATTGAAATAAAAGATTTCCAAACAGTCATGCTGAATTCACGTTTAAAATGTTACAATCACATCCGGAATCTCGATCATGTATATTTGTGTTCCTAGAAATGAATAAGAATTAATTTCCCTTGGTGTAAATACGTCGTTAGGCTTCAACAATGCCCCCGCTCATTCCAAAAGTAAATGTCATTTAGTGTAAATAAGAAAAATCATTTAAACATAACGGGCAAGTTCTTTTCAGGAGGAAGTAATTTCGTCGAAATGAGGTCGTCACGGAATCTCGAGGACGAGTGATCAGCGAAACCATTACGAGGAGGCTCTCGTTAGGCCGATTAATATCGTTTTTTTTTTCGTTCCGTCTCTGTTTCTCTATATCTTGGACATATCGGCTTCTCCCCTCTACATCTCATACATATCGGCTACACTCCTCTATATCTTATACTCGGACATATCGCACTCCTCTCTATATCTTAGACATATCGGCTACACTCCTCTATATCTTGGACATATCGGCTACACTCCTCTATATCTTAGATATATCGGCTACACTCCTCTACGGACATATCGCAGACTCCCTATCTACTTTTCTGATGACGGAGAGTCTACTGGCCTTTTTGTTAAAGTTGCGACCCCATGAACATTCATTATACAATGCATATACACAGAAATAAATGAATATCTATGTGTGTGTGTGTGTGTGATAGCTAGATAGATATGCATTTATTTCTATGTATATGGATGTCTGTGTATCCGAATGCTCATCTTATCGGACCTCCCACAATTTTAACGAACTGGCCGTATAACACGGCTCCACAGAATCAGAAGTGTCATCTTAGAGCCTGCAAGTCACCCACCCTTGTAATGCCACCGTGTCCTTTGGCAACTGTAGGTACAGTAATCCAGGAATATTCTCGAGCGATCATAAGTGGAAAATTCAACGCGAGAGATTTTTCATTTATCCCTCCTCTTGCTGGGTAGACGAGTAGATAGACAAGTGCAAAAGATTTTTTTTTCTCGGTCCCTCCTCCTTATTTATGTTTTTATATCATTATTCTGTGAAGGTTTGTTTATTGATTCATGTTTTATTCGTTTATTTGTATGTTTTATACCAGGGTCGCTACAATGTCATCGAACATAGAGCCAATTGCATAGCTTTAAATGTATATTATTTTGTCCTTATATGTCTGTGCGGATGTGGGAAGTGAGATTGCACATAACAATACACTGAGGTACATGTCTGCTTATGTTTGATCAAGAGTGTGTTTGTATTTTATGTAAGTGTGCGTATGATTTTATATGTTTGTGTGTGTGCTGATGTGCAGGTGAATGTGTAATGCGCTTCTTTTCGTCTATTAAATGCATTGGTTTGTTTATGTATGTACCTGCGTGTGTGTGTGTGTGTGTGTGTGTGTGTGTGTGTGTGTGTGTGTGTGTGTGTGTGTGTGTGTGTGTGTGTAGGATTATATATAATTAACTACCGATCATCCTTTCCTTATTCAGATAAACCTTCAGATAATGAATGCCACAGAATACCCCTTTTCGCCCTTTTCATCTCAATGATTTTTTTACAAACATCTGCCCAGTCACATTCCCTGGAACTGGGTAGACGTGAAGCTTCCTGGTCCCAATATCTTTCCTTGGTGAAAGAAAGCTTCGGGAGGTGAGTCATTCTCCTAAAATATAATAATAGATAAATAAAAGAATAAAAATAAATAAATAAAAGAATAAAAATAAATAAATAAAAGACCAAAAATAAATAAATAAAAGAATGAAATAAGATAAATAGATAGACCTAAGTTGACCTGCAAATAGACGCAACCTGATTTTAAAATATATGGTGGTTTACTAACTTTATTTTATAATGGCGAAAGAAAAGGATTTTTCTTTATCCATCACACCGGTGCCCCTTCTTGTTTCACAACCGTAATCCTTTACAATCGATTTATTAAATAATTTCACTTTCAATCATTAGTCATAGTCTTCCTTCATAATCTAATGTTTGAATCAATTTCATTTAAATATTTTTTCCTCATACTTCCGTTCTGAAAATTATTTCATTTTCGATGACTCCTCAGACATTTCCTCTGTCCTTGGCTAAATTTATCTGTGTGCCTTGCTTCACTAGTACAAGTTTCATACAAAGGAGAGAGGAAAAAAATAGATTGCGACATCCTCCTATGGAACAGACTTGTACCGGTTCCAAGAATGTATGACGTCAGCGCTACTCTCCTTTGCATGTTTCATCAACTCGGGAACACGCGCGTGCACAGGAACAGACGCATATGCTGAACAGAAACACGCACATACACCCATGCGTATGTATAGACACACACATCCAAACACACACATACATACCCATCCAAACGCCTAAACACATTCACACACACACCAAAATACACACATACTCACCCATACACACACCTATACACACACACACACAGATGATTCCCGCCCACCCTCGATACACCTAATTTCCCCCCTCCCCAAACACGTCCCTCTAAAACACACACACACACGCACACGACTCCCCCAGCACATACACACGCGACCTCCCCCCCCCCCCCCATCCACCCCAACACACGCACACCCAACCGGAAGAACACGCACGAATATGGCTTTT